GTGGACACGGGGAGCCTGCAATGGGATGCTGGGGATGTGACTGGTCATCCTATCTCTTCTCCAGGGGTTTCCTCTCCGACAGCAGATAGCTCAGCATCTCCTTAAATGCGTCCTGAGCTATTTCCATTTAGGACCTGCCCCATTAAAGCACCAAGTTAACTTTAACCCTTGGAGATGTGAACTGCACCAGCTCAGGAGCTGCTACATGCTCCCCACTGCCAGGGCAGCATCCTCCGAGGGAGAAGCGGGGAGCCTGGCCAGAAGAGGTGATCGCTTGCTCGGCTGCCAGCACCATGATCTGTCTGGGCTTGTGTGTCACATCCTTGGGCACATGTCTGTCTTCGCACGTATCAGGAATTTCCATTAGTTTTGGCGTAGGATGATTCACAAGCTGAAATTTAACCAGGCACTGAAATCCCTGGCGATGGGGACTCCCTGCCTGAGCTCAGCCTTACCCAAGCTGTCCTAGTTTAAACTCTCAGGGCAGTAAAACACCCAGCCTCCAGCCAAATAAAAAGAGCAAAGCAGGGATGCTGGCTTTTTCTGCCCAAACTACACTATTTGTTAGTCTGGGCTAAATCCCCCAACCCAAACCTATTAGGGAACTCCCCCATCTCCCCAAACCACCCCGACAACAGAGGCACCCGCTCCATGGATGCAGGAGGGTTTTGCTGCAAGGAGAGAGCATGTCACTGAAGGATTTTTCCATGGGTATTTCTTACTGGTTTTCCTGTGCTGGACCCGCGCTCTCCGAGCCAGAGCCGGTGCCATTCAAGCCCTCTTCTGCCTGGGACCTCAGCTGCTTCTCCCGCTCCCGCCGCCGCCGCTCTCTTGCCGCCTCCTCCTCGTCTTCCACGCTCCACTGCGCTGTCAACCTGCCAAGCCAGAGGGAAAACCCATCCTTAACACCATCAGGCAGCGCCTGCAAAACCTGGCGATACCCGCCCCTGAGGTCCCTGGGCTCCCCCCCGGCAAGCAGGGGGCTCCTGCGTAGAAGCGCTCCCACCATGAGTGGTGGTCCTGGAAGCAGCATCCCCACCTCCATTGGCATGGCTCCACAGCAGGACTGACCGATGTGCAAGGATAAGGTGGGACACACGGACTGGGAGAGAGGTGGTGCATATCCCTCTCCTCCCAGACCAGCCTCCTCCCCGCGGGTTGGAAGCCCACTGGGAAGCACCATTCCCTGCAAAGCAGCTTTGCACCCCAGGAGGGGTTTGTAAAGGGTCTTGCAGTGCTGCAAGAAATCCCACACCTCCATCTCAAGCTTTGGCTCAGGGAGGGTGAGATCTGCACCCTGGGGGTGAGTTCCCTTAAGCAGTTGAGCTGCTCCTGCCTGACCAGGAGCAGAGGGAACAGCGGTGGAGGGCAGCAGCTGTGTCCCACTCTGCCCTGCTGAGCTTCCTTCCTCCTCTGCAGAGAAGAAAAACCTGCCCTGGTTTCTCCCAGATGTCTCAGCTGCTGGATATTAAGCCCTCTGTCAGCAGAACAGCCTCTCACATCCCCGAGGAAGCGATAAGGCGGCTGCCACATTCCTCCTCTGGCGATAACGCCAGTCTCCGCACAGGATTGGCTCCTGCTCCACCGCTGGTGGCACCAGCCAGGATACAGGCAGAAGGGGACGCACCATGGTGGCAGGGTCACCGCTAACCCAAAGGGCCTGCGACGGCAGCAGGAGAAGGGCAGGTCTGATTCATGGTACCTGGGGCTGATGCCGGGGCAGATGCTGGAGCAGGTGCTCCCTCACCTGACTCGCCCCTGGCCCGGCCAGGTCCAAAACAGACCGTGAAGGCTGTTTCACCTGGAATTTGCAAGCCTATTTACAGAAATGCTCTTGTGCAAGGCGCACACACACGGGAGTCAGGAAGGCAGTCTCCCACCAGCAGCAGGACCCTGGGACCCAGCCTAACCTGTGTCTCCCCACCCTGTTCGGGCACACCCCGAGGACTGCAGTCCCTACAGGATGAACCTGCGCAGTAGGAGAAACAATGCGACATCAGTTCAGACTGGGGCAAAGAGCTTCTGGAAAGGAAAGGGAAAAAAAACCAAAAATGCCTCAGTTGAGACTTGCTTCATCCCAGTTTGAGTGAATGAGGGGCAGGTTTCAGCTGATCCCAGAAGTGCCACTCTGCCAGCCTGCCTGGCTTTGCCCATAGCCTGGACTATGTACTATGCAAGAAGGCCTCACTTCACCAAGGGCATCACTAAGATGCTGTTTTCATTTGAGGTTCAGGACAGATCCCCCCCTCTCCCAGCAAAAGGGGAAAAAAAAAACAAACCAGGATTAATTGAGACTTTTTTTTCAAGAAAAATTTGGCTTTTCTAATCATACTATGAACCTTGTCAACCTTTCCAGAGGAGACTCGCTCAGAGCCTGTTTTACTCTGTGGCACCAGCAGGACCGCCGGGCTTAGCCCCAGTAGCATCCCTTCGCAGAGTGGTCCCACCACCACGCTGGAAGGAAGCTGGGAGTGACCCCGCATCCCTGCCCTCCCAAACTCCCATCTCCCCCGGGACGGTAGAGCTGGGATGCGGAGCCAGATGGAGACAGGTCACCCATCCCCGTGGAGCCCACGGGGGAGCAGGGAACAAAGCAGATCCCAGACTTGGCCAAGAGACCACTCCGCTGCCATGTAAGAATTACTGCCTGCCTTACTTTGGGTGGGGTCTTTTTGCAAGCAGCAGATTCAGCTGCCCTTTCCCCTTCTCCCACCTCCTCCCCCCTTGCCACCTTGCTCTCCATGGGGAACAAAGCGGACCCAAACCAGAGCCTGAGCTCCCCT